TACTTGGTTTCCCCAAGCTAGCTTGGCAATGAGAACTACCACTGATATTTCAGAGTGCTCTTGCACAAGCAACACTCACAAGGCTTTCTGGAAACCCCTTCTGTCAATCATAAAGCGCCACAACCACGGCCAGAAGACTTGCATGAATTAAAATTATAAGAAGGGGGTTTAAAATATTTGCAATAATGTGGATACTCATGAGGAATTAGAACGGAAATCAGAATCTGAGGACTACAGGCAGGCCTATAGATTGTGCAGATTTGCATTCTGTTAAAGTTCCCTTGGTCAGAATCTATGCTCATATTTCAGGAATGGTCTACATCTGGCTACACTGCTATGCAGGATCAGGCAAGAACTTTCCCTGACACTGAGACAGTTAGAAACCATGGCTTATTATTATTCGGTCCTCTCTAGATCAAATGGCTTGATATTTTTGTTTGAATAATCTGGATTCATTTGCTGAGCATGACATTTTCTTCATTATATTTACTCTCCCACTGGGGTACTTTGCAATCTGGATTGCACATGCTAATTGGTGGGGGCTTCTCTGCACTGCAGTTAACTCATTCAAGCAAGACTATCATTTGGTTTCTTCTCACTGTACAATTTTAAGAAAACCATGTAAGTATTAAAGCAAACATTCAGAGTCATGCTTTAAAAATACCATAGCTAAGATTTTAACCACAAGATGTTAGCTTAATTCATCCCAGAACCTTGAGGGTGAATTATTTTCTCCACTGAGCGAGTCCCTAATGGACAAAAATCAGCATTGTCAAGTCATCCAAGTGTTAAATGCTCCTACCCAGCAGCAAAGGAATAACAGCACACCAGACTGCACAGTAGACACAAACCAGAGATGAGGGTTTATGCAATAGAGGAAATTGGTTCTATAATCTAAATTTACTTTTCGAACAGGAAAGTTATGTAACACACACTCTCACAGAGACATGTGTAAATACCAAAAAATAGTGTATATTTGAATATGTTGCAGGTTTCTCAATTCTGAATGTAGAAACATAGTGCCCCCAGCTGCCAACAGGCATTTGAATGCATTAAACTAATTTTATTTCACCTGTTTTAACCTTTTATTTTCTATAATGCTTGTATATCATATCAACGTACTTCACATTGTGGCCAAAACTTCCTTTTAGGTTGTTCTTGAAGCAAACGACTAACTCTGTTTTAATTCATCTTCGCATATTTTGCTGCACATAGTAATTATGATATTATTTATCACTGATCATCCATTCCAGATCTGTACAGGACAATTTAAACCTTTTAATGATTGGCTAGATTCAGATATCAGAGTAGATCTTTTGAAATCAATAGGTCTACTCTAAATATGACTAAGGCCAAGCCATAGGGGCTTTTTCCCCCTCCATCAACACAAGTCAGACACACGCACCTCATGTTTTAATTATTTTCTACTCCCATGGCATTAGGCTTGCTATCATCCAAACCCAACAAGGTAGACGGCTGTGAAACAACCGCAGAACCCATGGCTTTTTGTAGGGTTCTGGGTGGTTTCAAAGCTATTTATTATTTTATTTATTAGACTTTTATCCTGCCCCATTAGTCATAAGGCTACTTGCTGAACACCTCTCTGGGTCTGAACAACATGGTAATCTCCATGCCACGATGGCAATTAGATACATGAGTGTAATGTGTTCCCAGCGCATACAGGACAAGGAAAAGACGCCACTCTGACTTCTTTTTCCTATAATTGTCTGAACTAGGCCACTGTCTGGATCTAACCATTACAATGTATCTTTTACTTGATAGCTTACCCCTGACCATGAAATAATATGAACAGGTACTAACTAATAAACTGAAAAACATTTTATTTAGAAAAAGAGGAAAATTTCCCCACCCAAGATATCTGTATGTATCGCAAACCAAAATCAATCTTGTTAAAGGTAAAGGCCGTGGCTCCGTCATCAACTGTGTGCTTTGCATGCACGGGATCTAATTCCATTCCTGGCAAGAATTAGGGGAAAACTAAATGTTATATTAGTTATACTTTTGTAAAGTGTGCATAAAACCAGATGCTTTTATTTTGAACAAACAGGAACTGTGGGTGGCTGCTCTGGAACATGGCCCCAATCCAGTCTATGTCTCTACACCAGTTTCCTCCTGAAAATATCCTTTCCTTAGTAGTTATTTTGAAAACGCTTGTCCCAAGAGAAATGGGGGAGCTAGGGGAGGTTACATTGGGGGTATTCTATAGTAGCTTCTATACTAGGACCAAAAGAAAGGCACAATTATGCCATGTATTTATGGTACTTTCCTATGGTGTGAAGCCCACTGTTGTCCATGATGGTGGCTGATGAAGTGTGAGATTGTATAAACAATGAAGCAACTTCAGACCATCCTACTTTGAAAGATAACTCATGCAAACACCCTTAGCCAGCATGTTTCTCTTCTTACAATGTATACTTCTAACAAAGGAAGTTAGACAACTCAGGTATAGACATTAGATTTCTCAGGTACAGTATACTCTTGCCTTACAAAATTTGAATGGTATGGATAAATATCCTTTCTCAGTCACTAAAAAATCAGTGATGAACAGTGTGCTTGGCACAAAATGTAACCTTCTCCAAGGAATATAAGCTTGGAATCAGGAGTCAAAGGGTACTCCATAATGCTGGATATATTTATATCCATATTCCCAGACAAACTTATAAACAGATTTAACGCGTCTTAAAAAATGAAGTTCTACAAAAGTTTTAACTTTTGTTGTTATGTCTACACACTGAAATATATGCACCAAAACAGTTGAAAGAGTGAAATTCTCCTAAAATATCAGTGTCTTGAAATAGCACTGCAATTTTTCTCAGTTTAATGTGCATCAAAATACATTAAACAAATGTTTAACACAGATATTTAAGTCATGCAGCATGGTGATCAGTGCCATCCTTCACTCCCAGAATACTGGAAAATCAGAAACACTGACCGATGATCTGACAACAAACAGCAACTGAACTATCTGAATCTTGAGCGCAATACCAACATACTGAATGAACTTCATTCTAGTACAACAGTAATTTAAGTATAACAGTGAAAAACAGATGCAAATCATATGATTCACACAGGAATTACAGTTCCAAATCCCCTTAAATATTTAGCCAGCACAGAAGCCTTTTCAGCCATTAAACAAGGAAAACCTCCCCTCCCCCACTCAAGGCATCTTCATTACTAGTGCACCTTCTGAAAAGTATATACATTGTGATACAGCAATGTCCACAATAATAAAGTCTCCTCCATCCTACTGCCTTCTAAAAAACATTTTTACTGTATACAGTAAGTATACTTAGACTATCTCACAGCTTTTTGGCCAACACTGTAAAAGAGCTGTGGCAAAAGAGCTGAACACTCGAAAGCATAAATGTTGGCGACACAGAGAGTGCATTGTATTTATGACAAACACATGGTGAAAGAGTGAATGTAGTCCCTTCTTCAGGCAGGAACAGGCTGCTTGCCCTCCAGATAGTTAGTGCCTGGCACTGCTGCCTCTTCTGCCTCTATACAGCCAGAATGGTGATATAAATGGGTGATTCATTCCCCAATTCTTGCAGACTTGCCACACAAGAGATCACTAGCAAACCTCTCAGTCTTTTTGTCATTAAATATCTGAAGATGTGAGTGTGCGCCAACGCGCCACTGTGTTCAGTGTTATCTTTGTGCTGCTCTCTTTTCTGAAAGCCATCTCACATCAGATCTGCCAGCCAGAAGTTTGAAAAAAAGGCGGGGGTGGGAGAGGAGACGGCATCTCTGAGGGCTGATATCCAGTGGACCCGCGGTGTTCCTAAAATAGGGTGCAATCCCGCCGCGGCGCTGCGGCAAAGAACATCTGGTAACCCTAGACTGCTCTTTTCTTGACGGATGGCAGCCAGGATCGATGAGGCTCGCCAGGCGCAGCCTTTTCCAAAAGCCTGCCACACCTCCAAGTCTGAGCCGCCCTTACAGTCCGGCGCGGAGCGCTACACAGGTAAGCAGGCAAGGCTACAGGCAGCACAGGCTCGGGTTGCTCTCTTAACTATCTGGCGTCTCCAAGGGAGAGGAAGATGCTGTGCAAAGCTGCCAACCAGGCAAATTCGTGCCGTGGGAGGCGGAAGAAGAGCCCAGCACTTTCCTCTCCCCCCCCCCCCCCCAGGAGAGTGAAACGCACAGCACGCCCCTCCGATTTCCTGTCATGCAACGAGAGGCTGATTTCGGCGTCGGCCTGCTCACCCATTACAGAGATGCGTCGACAGGAAAAGTGCAGCCTCGCCCGGGTGCCAGCGACGGGGGCAATTCGCGCTCGCTTCTCTCCCCACGCCGTTCATCCTCTCTTCCCTCCGCCTCGGGCCCCCATCCGCCTTCCTAATCGCTCACATTACAGCAGCCAAGGGCGGCGGGGTGCTTGTTGTTGTTGTTATTGTTGTTGTTTTTAGGCATTATTTTGACAGCTTGCGGCACGGTGTGGGTTTTGGCTCCCCATCTTTCATTCAAACCTTTCCAACAGCCGGCCCTCCACCTCCACATGCGCGACGCTAACAAAGTCAACACAGTCGAAAGGAGAGCGGGAAGGTGTTAAAGGTGCCTCCGGAGAATGGACATGATGCCACGCGCGCGCGCGCGCGCTCTCTCTCACACACACACACACACGACGCGCGCACACAGCGCAAGACGGACAACAGAAAGAGGCACACCCTTCGGGTTCACCATCCTAGTCTGCAACATCTTCCCGCACCGCACGAGACTGGATATTGCAATACTAAAAATAGCGGGCTTCCCTTTCGCACACTTGGCTACCAAAAAGCGCGGCTCGAGGTGGGTGGCTGGTTGCCTCGGCCTGCTTCCGACGCCCAGGGATTCAGCGCGCAAGGTTGATCTCTGTAACCAGCCACGCAGCGAGTCCCTCCGTTAGCCCCGAAGAGGCGAGGCGAGGCGAGCCGAGGGGACAGGCTCAGGCACCAGACCCCGCGGCAACTCCATGCCCAGCTGGCGTCCACACTCACCCATTTATGTCGCGTTGGGGCTCCGCCAGACAGGCTGAAAGTTTGAGGTAGCTGCAGGTTTAAAAGGCAGGGAAGGACCAACGATTAGGGGAGTTTTCCTGCGCCTCCTGTAGCAGCCGCTGCTTCTTCTTGGCTTCCTCTCGGCTAATCAGTGCCCATTGCAACAGCAAGGTTGCATTTTTATTTCCTGCTCTGAAACCCTCCCTTACAAGGAGGGGAAGCGAGGGAGGGGAAGGGAAGATTTTCTTGACGTAAAGCAGGGAGGAAAACAACAAAACGAAACACCTGACGTGCCGCTGGCAAATGTGAGGGACAGAGAGGAACGGGTAAAGAAAGCAGATTCCACCTGGAACTGCTAGGAAAGGGAGCGAGCGAGCGTGCGCATGTGTGTGTACATATGCCTGGATCTGTGTGCGCGCGCGCGTCTGTGCGCGCGCGCGCGCGCTAGGGCGGGAACGCAAGCAAAGGGGCGGCGGTACTAGCGACTCATTGCAAGGGAAAGGGCGGCTGCGGGGATGGGTGGCGCCCCTTCTTGGGACCGTTCGTGCGCCAAGGTGTCCGCAGCAGCAGCCTCCACTGCAAAGCGGGCGGACTGGCCCCGCTCGGCGCGCGGCTGCCCGCTTGAACCGTAGGCTAGAGCAGCGAAGTGTCGCGAGAACGTGCCCTGGTGGCCTCGGCGCGCCGCCCTGAGACGGGCCCGCAGCAGGAGCGGACGCCGGCTGGAGAAAAACGCAGTGCTTGCTGAGCGGAAGGCTGCGAAGGGGGCTAAGCACGAGCTTCTTCGGGCCTACCCGGAAAGCGTCTCATCTGTCTCTTCCTTCCAAGCGCTGTCTGATGTGTCGTCGTGATGCGAGAGGAGGAGGAGGCGGTGCTTGCTGCACCCCGCTACAACGCGTGGCAACCCACAGTCCGGCAGAAGTCATAGTTGCAAGGAGGATGTTTTGGACGCCTTCACGGCGGAATTGGGCTGGCCAGGAGATATTTCAAGGGAGAGGTGGGACGTGCAGCGCCCACCACCTCCCAAGTGGCCCTTCTTCTCAAGCGAACATTCGTGGAGGGGCGAATGCTCTCCGGCCACATTCCCCCAGCAGTGACCACAGGCCTCCTTGTCACACCCACAAAACCAGCGGGTGCCTTTCTCACTTAATTGCGGTGTAAGTGGGATGCTATGTGCTGTGTTGGTTCCACATATAAAGACCACACAAGGAAACGAGCATGAATAGCAGCATAGGTTATAGTTAAAAACTTTTTTTTAACAAAAATACCTGCTTATACAGCACAAAATCTTACAGCATCTTAAAAATTGAGTGTTTGCTCTTGGGTAACCAGGGGTATGCCATGTGATGGCCAAGTGCAGCAATCTGTCACTGGACAGTTATTTCTCCCACACTGTATTTATTACTAACAAATTAATCCTACTGGTGCTGAAGGGGGTTCAGACTCCACATACTAGAGTGTAGGACACGGAATAATCAATACAAGTTGTGACAACCCAGATTCAGGCTAGGTACCAGGAAAAGTTTCCTCAATCAGAACAGGACAGTGGAACCAGTTGCCTAGTGTGGAACCAGATCTCTACTAGAGACATTCAACAAGAAACTAGACAGTCATCTGAGTGGGATGGTGTGAATTGGTGTCCTGCAACAGCAGGAGTTGGGCCTGATGGCCTTCATGGCCCTTATAGCACTACTATTCTATGATCAACTGTGTACTCAAGTCCTTGCCCTTTGGGACTACCTGTGCCCCCCATGGAAGCTGTTTTGTGGTGGCGCCTGTGACAGTTATCCAGAATATCAGATAATGCCCTCAAGCCCAAAAAGTTTACTTACCCTGGTATAAGCATTCAGACTAAACCAAGCTGATTTTATCACTCCTATAATGTCATTCTGGGCTAAAATACGTAAGAATGAAAGATATTCATGGTAGAGGGGGAAATGTGCTTGGCTGAAACAGATCTGCCCCCAAAGTGGGGATGTTATATATACCAACACCTCACTGACTAAAATGTCTTTAATGCGCTTCATCAATGTGTGTAGTGTGTATTATATCAATATTCTAATACTGAAATTAAAAGTTGTGTACTTTAAGCATTACACTGCAATGGTAGAGTACCCACTTTCAATGCAGAAAGGTCAGTCTGTTGCTTCTGCTAGTAAAAGGACCCAGAACACCCACACCTGGCTGTATCAGCCATTCATCGAAGACCTGGAAAACCATGCCTTACTGAGGCACTAAGGAAATACATTGAAGCAGCTTCCTATTTTTCATAAGAGCAAGTTGTGGGTAATTTTTAATTCTTTATTCTGAGGAAATGTTCTTGAATAGTTACATTTCCTGAACAGTGCTCTTTGCCAAAATTACTTTGGCAAATCTTTAGGATACCGATTTCTTGCTCCAAAATTTCCAGCCATGGTGGGAGTTAGGATCCGACACATCTTGAGGGCACTAGGTTAGGAAATGCCGCTTTATAAAATAATGTGAAGACAGGGAGTGCAAAGTTAGGGTAGAGAAGAACAGGTACCTTTCTCTCAGCGTAGTTGCTGTGAAAACAGAGTCCTGGCTGTTGGTAATGGCTTGATAACTCCAAGGCCAAAGATTGGCAACCTGTGCATCCCCCTATTTTAGCTGAAGTAATAGAAGGTGAGAAAAAGCCATGAACTGCAGAACCTAAAAAAGAGGAAATTCATCAAACTTAACACTTTTAATGTGGGCATGCCCTCTACAGGACAGAAATGTGCACTGCACTTGGGTACCCACAAAAATGTCAGTTGGTAAAATGTACCTTCTTTCACACCAGTCCAAATAGACATTGACTTCTAACCCAGAATGTTTAGGGAATGCTAATGGGGACATAATTGAAATGGAATCACAGTGTATCTCAACACTACCACTTCCTAAACCAGAGAGTATGGTTGATTGTTTCCTATTGTAGTACTTTCTTTGGCCTATACACATGGATGGCCATCCATGTCTATCAAATGGGGTGCAAAAGCTTGGTGGCTGAACTGAAAAAAAACGGCTGCACTGCCTTCTCTAGGCACTATATCCTTTCCCCCAGCCACCACTCATTTGGCTTCAAGCCTTTTGCACAGCTTTCTTATTCTAAAAAGTCGAAATGCCTATCCTAACAATACCTCATTGTTAGGAGTCATAAGCTACAATAAGCTGGTATTTTTTGTTGAGGTTGTTCTTAGCCTATCCCTTTTGCCTTTGGCCCCATACATCACTTTTGAACGATGACCTTCACCATTCCAGAACTTATCTGAAGTTGAATTTGACCCTCCGGCTGAAAGAGGTTCTGCACCTCTACTATATAAGCCAGAAAAACACAGCCTTGTATATACAACACCTGGCAGTATCATAAACAATAAAACTGGTGTTCTTGGTAGCAAGGGGGAAAAGTCTGTATGACATGTATGCCTTATGAATTGTCTTCTCTGTATCGGCCTCTTACATCAACCAGCTTTTAGTATCTTACACCAATAATATATTTTTTAAAGCTTCACAGTATCAGAATTCCATCTAGTCCAGCATTCTATTTCCAGTTATGTCATCACGTGAAGACAATAATTGTCCTCTCATCCTGTTTCCCCAGCACTTTACTTAAAATAGCAATCCTATGTTTTGAGGATAAAAAGACCAAGCTCTGGCTGCAAGTTTAATCCTAGTTTACTATTAAAGAATCAGTTATATAAGCAATATATCAGAAAAATACATTTTTATAAGTAGTTGATATTGATTTGGCACATCTACACTTAATCTTAGCTAAAACAGAGAAGTCTTTTTTGAAATGATGCTAGGGTTCATTTTATCATTCTGGCACTTTTTAATGTTTCACATTTGTTGGCTGACAAAGTTCAAAAAGGACAAACAGCTGAATATTTGACTGGCTACTAAGGTATTACAGTTCACTAATGTGTAAGTTTGGTGACTAATTGGGAGATACTTATGGGATGGCTACTGTTTACAATATAAAGCTAGTTGCTGATTTTATACTGTGTATGTTTCACATTTAATCAATATCTGATTTGCTGTGTTATATATTTTGTTCTGGTTATTCCACATGTTTTTACCTTATGTTTTACCCTCATAACTGTTACATAGTATTATAGGGAAACATTGCAGACTAAATAAATATAGCTGCCACAGGTACATCCAGTAAATTCTAAAAGCTGCTTTGTGGGCTCTTATAGCCAAAAGGTGGGATAGAAATCTTCTGAGGAATAAATTATGAAACAATTATCCATTAAAACTATGGTATATGGAAGTAACATGGGTTATTTCTTGAATAACACTACATAAGAAATTTCTCTTTCAGCAAGTTGATAACTTTACACTCTCATAAAATGTATTTTGATGTCTTAATATCAGTCTTGCTGAAGTAAAAAATGTTTGCACTAAGTATTAATAGTGCTAAGGATTAATCATCATTATGTTAACTTAAACACTAATCAAATCTCCCTTTTCAATGAGTTATACAATACTATCTTCAATTAAACTATCAAGAATTTACACTTAACGATATGGAATTGTATTTTATGGAAGACATGGGTGTTAAGATGCTAGCCCTAGATTCTTCATAGCTGTTTAAAGCATTTTTTTAAAAAAAGTTTGCATTCTTAGAGAATAGTCAGCTATGTATGTGACAAGAGATTGCCACAGTTGCATTTTTATGAACTGGCCCATGTAATACAAGGAAAAACAAAGGCTTTACAGGATAGGAAAGTAACTTAAAGAGCCATATCAGGGGCAGTTACCACCACCTACCTTTTTACTATAGAAAATTTGCAGAGTAAATGTAGAAGAACTCAAAGAATAATACAAGACATGGCTCTTGCTTACTTAACTGTTGCATAGATGAGGAAATTTTGGGGTGTGCAGCTTTTCTGAGTGCAGCAGGAAAATGCATCATTTTATTTGTACAGATATTCCTTACTATGCTTTATATAAGGTACTTTTCACATAAATGTGGGATACAGAATGGGAAGGGAAATTTTATTATATCCCTATTAACATAACTCCATTAACATCAGCGTGGTGGCCTCTTATTAGTAAGTTAAGAGGCTACCATGCTGATGTTAATGGAGTTATGTTAATAGGGATATAATAAAATTTCCCTTCCCATTCTGTATTAATAAGTGTATCAGATAAAGAAGCTGAAATAAAGGCAGCTGAATTTAATAGTTCCTGCCCAGGTCACAGCCTGTAAACACTGGAAAGAAGCACGTAAGTACTGCACTCTTCTCAATTTTAATTGCCATATTCTAATAACCTGAAGCATTCCTGTGAACAAAAGGGAACAGTTACATTTTTTGTTACTATGATCTATCTTGCCTGCCCAGCTTATGAAATTATAATCTCATTATTCATTCATTCTACTTCCCATTCTGCTAAATTGTATTCTCATCGTGATATCTTTTCCCTGTCTAGTTCAAAATGCAAACAGGTTTCAGTAGTTCTTTCCTTTTCACTTATATATGGAAACAAGTGCCCTACAATATGCTAATTAAGTATTGCAATGTGGTAATCACATACAATTTTTCTAATGCCCAATTTTAATAGCTGTGAATTGGGGCCTACGGTTATGTCGACAGTGTACAATGGTATTAGAAGCCACACCACAATGCATAGTGCATTTTTGGATAGTTGAACTGGCTCCTGCAGCTATGCAGAATACTCACCTTTGGAATCCAACAAAGGTCAACAAGGAGAACCTCTGTGCAGCTTCTGTGCTCCAAGTAAACATCTGGATGTCAGCCAGTTACCTCCAAAGATATCCTGTAACTTTACTTGGGTAGGAAAAATGGCATTTCTATTCACTAGTTTTTCCAGTTTTATTAATGTATTTATTTAAAAATCACATTACTCATATTTTTGTCTTATTTTCTGTCTTCCCTGAACCTGTCCTTATTAATAGCTTATGGGGTTTCAGACACACACTTAAGTGTGCTTACTTCAAGTCTTGTGTAAAATTAAAAATCACCGATTTTCCCCTCTTTAGACTTTTTTATGACTTTCTCGTCTCTTGATTCCTTTCTTTCTGAAATGTTAAAGGCCCTTTGTTTACTTTGTAGAAGATCCTAATTTCAAGAAATAATAAAAATATTACCCAAAGCTGCTACTTGAATAGTGCAGTCCTGTCTGAACGTGTCTACTCAGAAGTAGCTGCTACTGAGTTTCAGTGGGGTTCAGTGGGCATAACATTATATTCTAGACACACAATCCTATGCATATTTAAGCCAAAGTAAATTCTGTGAGCTTACTTCTAGATCAATGTAGAGAAAATTGCGGTTATATTAAGCTCTGCTCTTGAATGCAGATATTTATCTTCTCTTGTAAGAAAGCCACAATCAAGGATCAAACGGGGCTTTCCTTATTCTTGTGCAAACAGATATTCCAATTTTTAAAAATCATTTTAAAGGTTAAATATTTTCACAAAACAACACACTTCAAAAGTTAACTATGCTGTAAAGTACTGTCAACTGTTTTCAAATCAAGAACATTAAATTTCCACCTGGATGCATCACTCACAAATCCTTCTCCAGTCTCACGTTGAACTTACTTCTGCACCCAATGGTCTGCTGGAATTCAGAACCTTCTTCCCCACATCCAAAACCTACCCAGCATGCAGTGCGAGTCTCCAGGTCATAAGGAGTATACTTCTACTTCACTAATCATTGCAATATCAGGTCCAGGACCTTTCTAGATATGCAGAAAGGAAGGCTGCATACCTGCAAGTGGTCATCTGTGCATCTGCGCAAATGGCAGGAACCCACCTATTTATATAATGGGGAAGGGGGGTTGGGGCTCCCACCAAAAATCACAGGCTTAGGCAGAGGAATCTTCCCAAACATGGCACTGTGCAGGCGCAATACCCATGTGTGTGATACACAGATGACCGCACTGAAGAATTTGTCCATTTGCCAATCACACAGCAACAATGAAACTAAGTAGCCTTATGTAAGTCACTGTCCCCTCAAACCTACCTGGGCAGGAACATCAGAGATGTGTTAGATAAAATTAACTTTCTGAGAATTAGGCTAAGATGCTTATGATGGAAGGTTGCTCTAGAACTGGGTTCAAATCCCCACTTATCTATAACACTTATTGCACATACTGCAGGCAAGGTACCCTTTGTAAGGACATTTAAGGAGGGAGAGGTAGTTGGAGAAAGGGTGAGGTAAAAGAACACAAAATCGATGATTTGCAGCCAGTGTGGGTTTTAAAAAATTTGTTCATGTGTGCACATACACGCACACACACACAAAAACAAAAGCAAGTACATGCCTTTAAAAGCATTCAATTTCAGACAGCTGAGAAATCTTGATGATGATTATTCATCTCATATTTGTAAAGGATTACTAAATGTGTATGCAATTTTTCAATTCAAGGAAAAATTTACATTTTAGGGAAATTCTACATTCCTAACCAACGCAATATAACACAGCTTAATACTGATACTTTTTCAATGAAAAGGCAGTTATTTTAAAAACCCTTTAAGAGTTTTTTTTTCTGAAGGTTCAACCTATTTACCAGAAGAGCTGTTTAAATGGGAAGTTACATCTTGTTACAGAAAGCAAAGCAACTGCTTTGTGATACTAAAAATTTTCTGTAGCTGTAAGGATTAGTGGCATGATTAAAATGTAATACTGACAAAATGCAATGCTTATCTAAAATAACTAATTATTATTATTATGCAATATTGGTCTTATCTGGGATATCTCTATACTGTTGTTTCTAGTAGCAAATTGGTCAAATATCTCAAACCCCGTTTTTACATGCAAGCTTGAGGTTAGTTATATTTTAACATATCATATACCACAAGATAGAAAGATGTTTAGTGGCATATAGTACATGTGTACATATGTATGCACACAGCAGGGGGACAATTATGCAATGACTGATGGCTCAGTGAAATGTTTAATGCCTTAATAAGCAACAGTGTTTCAAACCATGTAATTTCCCTGTCTCCTGAACAAATACATTCTTTACTTACATAGGTAGATTTATAATGCAGACACAATAGTTGAGGGCTTTTAAAAATCATTTCCAAGTATATAAATAAGACTACAAAGAACTCCTTTTTACCTTGGCAAGTCATTTCTTGTTCTAGAAGATTAGGGCATTGGTGACATGTGCTTCTGACATCCAGAACCACACCTTCACAGCCTAACTTCACAAATTGCAGGCTCTGAAATCTTCAAATTCCAAAGAATCACAAGGATGTGTAGCAACAGTATGTAACCTAAACTGAATTTGAATCAAAATACCCGACATGTCAAAATGCCTCACAGTAGGTGATAGTAGACATTATAACACAAGTCACATATTGATATACACTGACCCTTAGGTCTACAAAATGGCTGAAATTTTAGGGAAAAAAACTTTTTTTTAAGAGAAGAAGAGTTCCATTCAGGTAAGAAGTGGAACACAATTCCTTTGAACTTCATTCTGACTTAGGTAAATGTGTTTCACTGGAGAAATTTGTAAAACTACATTTCTAAAAAAAACCCCACATATTAGTATAATGGATAAAGTAGAACTTGATTAAGTCTTTAGTTGTCAAAGCTGGCTAAATTAAAAACTTGCAGTATTTTTGAATACAGATCTCCATTTCCTCTGTCTTTAGTGTAGTCAGGAGGATATATAACACATGTAACCCACATTCCTTTACACTTTAACAGCTTTGAAATACACGAAAGTTTTCTAAATGTTAATATAATCTACCAAAATGTAAAACAAAAGTCCTACCAAAGTAGACAGAGCTTCAGAATTTCTGAGTAAATAGTTGGGAAAATCACCAAATATACTTGCTGTCACAGAACATAGGCACTTTTTGTTTTTGTTTATTTTATAAGCAATAAACTTTGAACATATAAACTTCTGTGTATAACAACTCAAGTTCTAGTAATTAAACCATGCTTAGCGAAAAGAAGGTATTCAATAAATAAGGACTCCCTTCAGTTTTTTTTCAGACTTGCCTGCAAGAGGAACTAAAAGGAATAATCCTACAATGTTCAGTTGAATGCTGTTTTTGAAAAGCCATTATTAAAACAGTAAAAAAGTTTTGCAACATTATACTACTGAAAAATAAAATCTTTCTCAAGAAAAGTTAAAGTATTAGTTTTGATTTTTTCCATTTCAATTCTTGACGGAGCTGTCAAATGCAGACAAAGGCTCCCTTGCAGTGATCTTTATAATCAGAGCTCTCCACTTCACACCTTCGGTTCAGATTTCCAGGTCCTATTAAGGAAAAAAAATCTTGTTATTTCCATTTAATAAGTTATTGATTTATCACAAGTTACCAAAAAAAACCCCCACCATTTTTATTAATGTAGCATTTCATGGAAAGCTACCTTCAAAGTTCCACATTCCCAGAGGTAGGGTGTTTGTCAATTAGCCATTAAATGACTGATTGATTGATTTTAAGATGTCACACATGTTAATTATAAAAGAACACCAATGGCTGGGTTGACAAACACAAAAATCATTCTGTCTTTTGATCACTTAACACTTGGAAAGTTCTCTTTCATTGTAAGGAAACCAGAGAATGGACAGCTGCACTTCACAGACATTTTAGGAAGGCTGCTGAAGTTTTTTTCTCCTTTGCTACTTCCTGGTTATTTGCAAAGCTAGTTGAAGATGATGACAGCAATATTTTATTTTAATTGATTGATTGCATTTATATACCACCCCAACAGCCCAGAGGGCTCTCTGGGTGTGGTTTACAAACATTAAAACACCACCAATCCTAAAATAAATTGGCTACACCACGACTGAGTATAAAATAACATGGTTTAAATGAATTAAATAAATAAAAATGCCATTAAAATTAATTGACTTTAAAATATTGGTTAAATAAAAAGGTCTTGACCTGGCACTGAAAAGCATATAATGATGGCGCCAGGCAGACCTCTCTAGGGAGCGCATTCCATAGTCGGGGCGCCACCGCAGAGAAAGCTCTCCTCCAAGTACTCTGTCTCCTAACCTCTTTCAAAGAGGGTTCCTGGAGGAGGGCCTCTGCTGCTGATCTTAGGGGGCAGGAGGGCATATAGGGAAAAAGGCATTCCTTTATGAAAACCAAGGCTGTGATAATTCAGCTCTGACTGCTATTCACACTTTGAAGTCATCAAAGATATCATAAATGTGTGACCTCTTCATCAGAGCAAGCAAGCTTAAGGCATTTATTTGGCTCTTGACATTGCATCATGTGTCAGCATGAACATGGGACAAATACTCCTTGTGAGCAAAACTGCAGCTGGATTGCTGACCCCATGCCAAGGTTCTTCTAGTCCAGCTTTCAGTTTCCAACAGCAAACAGTCAAATGCCATGAAGTAGTTTGGGTTAACCTATTTCTCAGGTTAACTCACTTTACAGGCTCACTCCAAAATGAAAATGCCACAAACTAGAATGTTACTTCACAGAGGAGAATGTGATACAATTTATTTCACGTTTCTTTGAAGAAGTTCTCCTCCCTCACATTATGTTCTCTCAAACACAATAAAAGACAATTTACCAAGGGTACTGTTTTTGGGCTAAGTGGGGATTTAAACCCAGATCTAATACAAGACCAAATTCATTGTCACATCATGGTTCCTTAGACAGGAAAAAGGTATACTTCAGAAACTAGCATACTTGATCAACTAGGTGCTACAATAATAAATACCATCTCACTCATTCTCTCAGACATTTGGCAAGCCCATGACAACTATTCAAATTTTAATCAAAACAAAAATTTGGTCACCTGTTCCTTCCTCAAAAATCCTCTTCTTATTTTATTAGTAGTAAAGCCCCTTGCTCCAGCATAACGTAATCGCTGATATTTTGCCTGTATATACAAGCCCTTCTGTACCAAGTTTGATCTGAAGTGTGGTCGACCATCAGTAAAGTGGGGCTGTTGAGGGAAAAAAAGTTGTCATATCAACTGCTTTCTGACTTCTGGACCAAAGTACCTTTAGTAAAACTTGTTCTATATATGTATAGTTAATATAACAATTTTTTAAAAGCCTGAACATTCAAGTCTGATGTTTTAAGCCTTCTTGCATTACAGGAGAAGTAGCTAGTTGTTCAAAAATTGCCATACATTTTTACTTGCCAGAATACAGCACAAATAATCACCAAGGAAAAACAGTATGTCCAGATTATACAATACAGACTTCAACTGTACTCTCAGAGGCATGCAGTCACCTGACTTTTTTTTTAAAAGGGTAACTGTTTCTAATGAGTGAAATGGACTTTCTTTTCTTGAATACAATGCAGCTGTTATCTTCTGAATACTTCATCAATGCAATGCAACAAGACAGTAGTAAATCAAAGTTAAAATTCTTAATCACAGCCTGTTTTGGAAATAAGCTACCACTCCTTTTATGCTGTCACACTTTCCACAACAGTTACTGGGACTGAATGTGGCCAGGAACTGTTTGTCAAATTATTCAATTTTAAACACAATTTATCTTTCTGTTAAAAAAATAAAAAGCAGATCAAAACGATGTAAAAAGGAGGACTGTATTACAAAACAACTTCACAAAAATAACACCCCCTAAAATGCCCCCCTATTTTTGAGTTCAAATCCTAATCCTGAAGTACAGAACTACAAAAAGAGTAACCAAAGTTTTTATCTTGTAAATCTTCTAAAATTTCAGGAAAAAAACTCCCCAAAACATAATGAAAACCACTGAAAACTCGGTCTCTGCCTATGTTCTGGTGTGTATATTTTTCCACCAACAAAACGTATGTCAGCACATTTTAAATTTATTTTTTATGAGCAAAATCATCTATTTTACAGTCTCTGACTGCTACTATTTTGGACATCACTAGGAGATTTAATACTTGAATCCCAATAGGCCTATTAGTTTTAAATCAAATGATCATGCCCCAAATTTGCAAAAAAAAAAAAAGATTTTATTTAAGATATTTTTAGCCTGCCCTTTCACATAAAAATCTTTACAGCAGTTTACTGAACCAATAAAAACAGTGGAATGCAATATAAAAAGAAAAATATATGCAAAAAAACCCATACAGAAAACAGCATTCATAGCAGAGCTCTTAAGTACTGTTAAAACCTAAGAGTGAGTTACATTAGCAGCAGGCCAATAAGTGAGAGTGTTTGAACTAAATCACCATCACAGGTAACCATCTGCTTGTAGATACCTAAGGGCTGTGACAAAAAAGGAGCAAAGGATTAATGAGTTAAATTATAGGAGAGTAAATCTGGCTTGAGCATTAGGAGAAGCTTCTTGTCACTAAAAATATTTGACAATACAGCCAATTACTGAGATGGAACCAACTGCGGTTGCGGGGGGTGGGGGAATCTCTCTCACCCAATGGAGGTCAGAAGCTATTCCACTTCCACTGAGGATGATCTAACTCTGAATTTCCTGCTCAAGCAGGTTTTCGATGAGGTGACTTATAAGGATCCGTCCAATTCTATAATTCCTTACAGCTACTCTATCCATTTCTTTGTTTTGCTTGTTATTATATTAACATTGCATGTATTTCCTCTTGCAAGAATGCTAAAGCAGTATACATAGTCATCCTCTTCTTCACTTTATCATCACAACACTGCTGTGACATAAATTAGGCTGAGACTCAATACGTTTCCCACAGTTATCCAATAAATTTAGGATGGCTAAGTAGGAACCAGAACCAAAACCCTCTAACCATCCTAATGATGGTTTGTAATTCAGTGCATTGTATCAGGAACAAAGCACTAATAGACCAGACTATTTTATGACTGAAGTGCAAACATACCACATTCTAAGCCCATTAAAAATAGACTCACATACTTTGACCCTAACGCTGCAGTGCAGATACCAGCTTGGCATAGAATGTGTATAAAACATTTCAAGGATCTGCCCTTTGTAGTCAAAGTATCAGTAAACCTGTATAATTTATTTTCTCTTCAAGTTCAGACAGACAATGTATTAACAAACTATGAATGGTTATTCTAAGCATTAAAAGAAGAAAGGGGTCATGATGGGAGAGAACAGAAGAAACTCATTCCCACCCCCCCACTCCAAAATGCTTCACATCCAAAGGTCTTGAAACAGTCCTTTTCTTCCACACTACCATTTTGCTTTACCATACCAGTATATCTTCACAACAATCATTCTTCACAGAAAGTCTTTAAACCAGCAAGGAAAATAGCATCCACAACATAAGTGCAACACTTTATTTGAACTGTTGACAGATGATATAGGGAATGTTTCAGGTGTTCAACATAGAAAATTAAGATATAAAATAGTGAAAAAGCAATATTGCACAAATGTATCAATGGCTACTTTAATAAAGCCCATTTTTCATTAAGGCAGGAGTAAGTTGTCCTTCCTGTTTTGAGTGCCATGAGTAGCTTGTAGCACACAACAGGTGCTAAAAGATACGAGTAATCCTTGTTTATATTGTAATCACATGCAACTGGCTCCAACAATCAATTTTTGTAAGACCATGGCTATTCCCACCTCAGCAGAAAGATTTTGAATGTAGTTAACTCAGTTATCATTGTTCCAAATCAGTCATTTCCAGCCTGGTGACCCCCAGATGTTTTGGGTGAACTCCCATCATTTTTAACCACTGACCAACTCTGAGTGCTCTGGGTTGTAGTCCAAAATATCTGGAGGATACCAGACTTAGAAGCTCTTCTGAATGCTATATGTTCTTGTTGAACAATGTCAAATGGATGTAGGCCCTTGCAAAATACTTATCAAATAATGCATGAAATTCAGGAACACATACTGTAAAACCAGAGGGAAGAAATTAATTTTGATAGGTCATCAGAACTAAGCTAAAGTTATACCTTGAAGGGTCTATGAGATGTTTCAAGATTGCCTTCAAATTGCTCATGTACAATGTTATCACGTGGTTTTGCAGCATAATGATGATTCTGGAGTAAAAGAAAATTGCTATATTTTACTAAATGTCTGCATATTTAATCTTTTACAATTATTTTACACTTTTACAATAACTTTCCAAATGTTAATACAAGTTTGTAAATTATAAACAGAACTGTACTTGTACAGAAGCACACTACATTTTTATTAAGCAGACTGAAGGAAACAATGTATGGAGAGCAATCCAGTGTTCTCCCTGCTTGATCTATGCAAGCTTCAGAACTCAAAGCCTTACGTCCGTCCACGGTACGGTTTGAAGCAGTAGCGATTTCCACCCCACACACACACACCTCCCCATGTACCCTGATTTCAGACATCTAGTGCTATGTAGAGCAAGGGAAGGAGACTGGGGCACATTTGGATATGGTGTAAGCTGTCTGTTCATCCTCCTCCCCTATCCACCTCCTAGCATGCCCCTTTTCCACCTCTCTGAGAATGATTTCCAACCTCGAAGAGGCAACAGAGATGGTTCTTTCCATGCCAGCCGCAACATGGGTGAGGCAGGGGCTCATTGTTTGGAATTCCAACTCTGAGGTTGTAGGACTCAGAGCTCCAAATAATCCTACACATTCCCAGACAATGTCAGGAGGTCACAGGATTGCACTATTATTTAACGGAAATAAATCAAATGGAGATAGTTCAATTTTAGTTACTATAGTAGTCTGAATGGCCCCCTCTGTTACTCCAAAATTGCATGTTTTGGAGAAGCTGGCCACACAGCGGTCCCTTTTGCTTCCATGGATGTCTTAGAAGACAGGATACACAATCAATGCGGCATATGTAAAAGGTGACCAAAGGATGTGACAAGTATTTATGGACTAAGGCTATTGATGCATTCTTCAAGCAGATGCACTGAACAGGATAATCACCAGAGTTGATCTGAAGATCCTTGTTTGCTCAGATAACATCTAGCATACAATCCTCCTCTTTTGATTCACAAGTACCAGTTACATCATATTTCCCCTATTTTAATTTTCTATGACTTTGCCAAAACCTGAAAGGCCTATGAAGAATTTTCCTCCTATCTTACCCAAGATTAATCTGTTTTCTCGATGACTGAACACTATATTGAGAGCTGGCCAAGATCCCATGACACTAGATCCCAACAGAAAAGGGGATATTTTTCCCCCAAGGGAAACTATGTTTGTTAAATTTCTGTACCATTGTTAATTTCTGTGCCAGAGAGGCTCTCTGGTGGTTAAAAGATAACTGCACGTTTTCTCAGTTTAAGCAGTTTTGTTCTATAGTTTGACCAAAATACAGACAAGAACCAATGGATAATCTCTAGCATGACCTGCTTCTGAGGTCCTACCATGCAAAACAGCATTACTAAACCAGAGTGATTACAGTGCCATTATTTGCTACAGAATACTCAGTGCACTGTAGATTCTGAAACAGCACTCTGAAGGGTTGCTGAAGCAGCTTTTCAAATTCCCTCTTCTGTAATGCACATCATTGTTTAGCCAATATACAGTGTGAACAGGTATAACCACAGTTATATTTTTCCTTCCTTCCTTATATGAACTCTATGGAGTTACTAAAAACAATGGAAAATCCGTGTTTTGTGATGATATGTCATTAGTTGTCCAGGAGTCCCATTTTATATGGTGCTGGCAAGAGGTAGGTTGTTGTTGTTTTAAGACTTTAGAGCTCTCCTTTGTAATGCTTATTCTCCTTGATATGGTGCACAGCTGTGTGTAGGTGTAGTTGTGCAATTTACTGTGGGACACAAATAGCCTCTCCCTTTCTATTTCACAACATGTCTCATTTCTTCCTGTACTTGCTCTAATATATAAAAAACATTTTGTTCAGCTTTTTCAGGAAACAGAGAAGAGATGTCTGATGTGTCTTTGTAATATGTGTCCATTGTGGATAAGTTTACAGTCATTTATTCACTATCCACTAACTACATTTCAGCCTATGTAGCAGAGCCCTCTAGGTATAAAGTTTGAGGCAATGAGTCATACGTCAGGGCTAGATGTATAAAATTATGTTTACGTGAGGAAGGACATATAAGTTTGTTGTTGTTTCTTTTTTAAAAAGGGAAATCTGCATTTAAATAGTAGAAAATGGGAGTCTTTGGAGTACACAGTCAAGGTTGCCATCATTACCATAAAACCATGAACTTAATTAACTTAAAACCATGGACCAAGAACAAACAGCTATAGTATTTTGCTCTTTGAAAACAAGCATTTCATTAGTTGAGCTTTCCCCTTCATTAAGTTGGTAAACTTGGTTGCCAGACCAGCATCCTACTACATGCTCCAAATTTCCAACTATCTGAGCAAAAGTCAGTCACATCCTTTTAACATTTTTCCCTGCTGTGCTCTCCCTTGTTTTAAATCTTAGTAGGCTTTGCTTTCCTTTCCCAAGGGCCAACTTTCTTTCCTCACAGTTGCTCCTGAAAATCCCTCAAATACAAATTAAGAGGTGTCTGTATTTTGATTACTCCTTTCCCCACCCTCACATATTCAAAAAGGGCTGTAGGACTTAAAGCTCCAAATAATCCTCTTCAAAAAGTTTGGGTTGTTTATGAGATTTAAAAGATACATTTTTGGTTACTCCTTTGTAATTCTGATCTGTATTTCTGTATTATGAATTGAACTCCAACATAAGGGGAAATTTTAGGGCGTGTTACTTTTGCTAAATTGTGTTGTAATACAGTTCTCCTTTTTGACATTGTTTTGATGTTTTTTTTAATTTTAAAAAATTGCCCAATCCAAACCCACTACAGCAGCTGTTGTCACCTGGGGAAGATTAAGAAGAGAGAACTGATATAGGTAATGGGCTGGATGAGGGCCAATAAACTGAAGCTCAATCCAGACTAGAAGGAGCTTGGTTGGCGGATCGGGCTTCGGGGAAGGGGACCTGAACTTAGTCCTGAATGGGGTTGCACTCTCTCTTCGGAACAAGGTCCGCAGCTTGGGAGTGCTCCTCGACCCAGAGCTTTCACTTGAAGCTCAGGTGACAGCGGTGGCGAGGAGCGCTTTCTTTCAGCTTTGGCTGATCCATCAGCTGCGTCCCTACCTGGAGATCGACTGCCTGGCGACAGTGACACACGTGTTGGTGACTTCCCAACTTGACTTCTGTAAAGCGCTCTACGTGGGGCTGCCCTTGAAGACAGTCCAGATACTTCAATTGGTTCAAAACAGAGCTGCCAGGCTGCTGATGGGGACTGGGCGTTATGTTCACATGACTCCAGTTCTCCGTCAGCTTCACTGGCTCCCCATTGAAGTCCGGCTCAATTCAAGGTGCTATGACCTATAAAGCCCTTAACGGCTTGGGTCCTGGTTACCTGAAGGAGCGCTTACATCCATATATGCCCGCCCGCCCCTTGAGATCAGCGGGAGAGGCCCTTCTCCGGGAACCCTCTGTGAAGGATATTAGGAGGGTAAGTACTCGGAGAAGGGCTTTCTCTGCGGTGGCGCCCAAACTATGGAATGTGCTCCCCAGAGAGGTCCGCCTGGCACCGTTGTTATTTGTTTTTCGGTGCCAGGCGAAGACCTTTTTATTTAAACGTCATTTTCATTGCTATTATTTATTTTACATCTTTGGCCAGGTCATCTCAAATTATATTGTTTTTATATTGTTATTAATTTATTGGTGTGAGCCGCCCCAAGGCTTCAGTGAATGGGGTGGAATAGAAGCTTCCTAAATAAATAAATAAATGAGGGAAAAAATCCATAGAAGAAAAATCTGTTGAAGAAAAAACCCCACTTTGTTCCCTTTGTCATGGTCTTGAATAAATACTCCTGATGGACAGTGCTCAGGCAGAAATTAAGCACTATGCTCATGGTGAACACAAAGGTGTCCATCATTACTCGCAGACTGAGCCTGATTATCAACTCTCTATCCAAAAAAACTGGGTGTCTCTCAGCCATTTTGTCACAGCTGTATTGCAGAAGGCAGTATCTACAACTAGATAGGAAAATGGTGGGGGGAGGAGGAGGAGGTGCTGCTGAGAGAACAGAGGACCCTGTGACATCAGAGGCAACTGTGGTGGTGCAGGCAGCAGGGGCCAGCAGCACATCTGGCCTACATGCCAGGTAGGGGAGGTAAAAGAGTTTGAAGGAAGAGCAGGGCAAGCAACAGCTATATAAGAAAAGAGGGCATAAGAGCTATGGATGAAAAGAAATGTTCTGTCTGGACACTACACATTATTATGTGCTGTCAAGCTGTCTTCGACTTATGGTGACCCTATGAATGGAATCCCTCCAAAATACCCTGTCCATGAGAGTTCCATTCAACTCTTCCAAGGCCATGCCTTACTGGATGGATTTGATCCTTCTCTTATTTGGTCTTCCTTTTTGTCTTCTGCCTCAACTTTCCCTAACATGATTGTCTTCTCCAATGAGTCTTGCCTTCTCATGATGTGTCCAAAGCTCTGGATTGTTTGATCCACGATGCACTTGCTTGTCTTTCTGTCATTCCAGGATATGCACAAAGCTGTCCCCTGTACCATGTTTCGAATGCATCAATTTTCTTCCTGTCAGCCACCTAACACATCAAAAAGCCAGCTGCAAATTTATTAGATCTCTTGCTTACTACTAGAGAACCTGCAAAGAACTTAATATTGGAGTGGAGTGTTCCCAAAAATGCTACAGGTGAGAAGAGTAGCCTTGCTGGTGTGTTCATCTTGTTTTAGATGACTTCCAGTACACCCACATATAAAAGCAATTAAGTAGAGCAAAATGTCAATGTCAATTTCTCTATGCAAGTTATAAAATTAAGAAGCTTATTTCAGCTTACCATGTGAGGTTTCCTAATAAACTTCCTGAAAGGAGAATTTAGGAATCTTGAAGATTTCTGGAATCCATATGGTTGAGGGTTTCGTAATTTTGGAAAACTACAACCATGTTCATCCCTAAGTGGACAAAATATTGAAAGATGTGAAACCTACAATGAAATAATCTTAAAAGGCACAATGTTTTAAAACAGGACAAACTGCCTGTATATGTGTGTGTGTGTGTGTGTGTGTGTGTGTGTACTTGATAAGATCATTAGGTAGTTGGCACTTTGGCCTGTTCATAATGCTAAGCCATGGTTTATTTCACCCAAGAGTTTTTATGATGTGCAAACCTAACCGTGCTAACAAACCACAAACTGAAAAAGAGAACCCATGGTTTATTCTGAACTCAATAGTTTTTTAAACTATGGGCTATTGTAACATGTGAACACAGAACCATAGGTTGCTCATGGGTTGTTCTGCCAGGCTACATAGATGGTAGGCAAGAGCAGTTAAAAGTAAAAAAACAAAGAACTAGCTGCTCTTTATGTACTACATTTGGAATACAGGAAGGAGTAGGTTGAAGGAAACAAACAACCCAGGAATTGAGAAAACAAGGCATAGTTTGTTTGATCGTTTGCCAGATGAACTTGGCTAGGACAACAAACCTTGGGTTAAATAAACCATGGGTTGGCATTACATGCAAACCAAGTCATTCAATACTGAAGCTATGCCTATGCAAATAAAAATCTAGGGTTACTCATTATACACAGCTAAAATAAACAAGATTTATGGACATATATTTTCACAAAACCTACTTCATTTGGCTGAAAAACTAAAAAATAGCTCAGCTAGGTATGTTGGGAAAAGTTTTGATCTATGTTGAATGAATTCTCCTCAATATCTATTTAAAAGTCCTATTAATTTAATTAGCCTAGGGTTTTGAGAGGCAAATATATTTTTCATAAAGTTTAGAGTCAGATTAGACAAGCTTTCCAGACACATACAAGTAATTTAAAATGAAAAGCCCCATGGAATACTTTATTTCCACAAGTATCACATATACAAACATCCTTGCCTGTGCCATGCATCATAAATTGAGATTAGAAAGGATTGCTCAATGTGGATCATCAAAAGTCACAAGACTGTTTATGCACATACCCAGGGAAAATCCTTTTCTTTAATGCTTTCATTAAGTTTTAGATGTGTCAATTTTACATAATTCTATTATGAAGTTCTAAAATGATCTGAAAAAAGAGTGGGAACCTGTATGTTGCTTCAGATCTACATTAATAAGAAAGTTAAATATAGCCACAGTATACATAGAACCTTCTTGGTTGGATCCAGTAGAGTAATCCACTGAAATCAATGGGAGTAATTTAGTCATGGCTAACTTAAATTTAGGTCCCACTGAATTCAGTGGATCTATTCCAACTATGATTAATTCTGGATCTAGCATTTGACCTATTTCCTGTCCCTAGCCAAAGCATACAAGCAGTCTTTGTGGGCAGCCAGTTTATTACATTAAAACTAAGTAACCTGCTAGTGGTTGTGAAGCAACGTAAGCTGCAACAGAATCAACAAGGTACAATTATCATAGTTTTGCCTGAAAGTGATTGCAAAACTAAGTGAATGACAGTCTTGGTGCCGTATGGTGCTGAATTCCTTGACAAATTTGATAGAAATTATACAACTGAAACCATAGAGAAGCAAACCACCCTCGAACATGTCGATCTGTTGGGAATCAGTGTTAAAATCCAGGAAAAACAACAACTTTAAGGAACTCCTCCATCTTACATGCCAACCCTGAAAAGAAGATGCCTCCAACTCCAGCTGGTAAAGAATTTAGCTTCTTGTATGTGGGTTTTACCAGGCAGAAGAGGCATGAGCTGTTATATACCTTGCAGCATGACATACATGCTGGTTTATAACAATGACTGAAATTCATTCAAGGAAATAAACCTAGAGTAAGAATCTGATATAGTGAACTCAGTCTCCATATTCAATTAGAAGATCAAACTGTATTTTAAAAGGCAGTGATTTAGTCTGCAAAATAGGTGACAAATTCACTACAGAGAACCAAGGATGACTCATCCTGCAGTGGAGACAGCCAGAGTTCACCAGGTCATTCATCACCCAGAACAGCTTTGCCAGACAGCACTTTGCAAACACGGAGGCTGCAGAAAAGATATATTGCTTTGCTGGTGTTGCATGGGCAAGGCTGTGTAACTTTTAAAGTGTAGATCCTGTAAACACTATTTCACTTGTCAGGAACTTACATTAAGCCATTTAATTAAATAGGACACTAAAATTCAAGGTTTTAATTTCCTAGGAAAATAGGAAGACCAAAGAGCAAGGATAAAAAGGTTGTAGAAGTAATGGCACCAGGCCAAGAGCCATACACAGAAACTAGACACACACACACCACACACTTGAATGATCACTCTGTCTGCCTTTAGTTTCAACTCTAGAATTTCAGAAATGTTGGCCACACATCATCAAATATACAGGAACTATAAATACTTTTAAAATTAAACAGGTTTTTAGACCAAAGGTTTTCAGAATACTACATGCACACTTGAATGGTAACTTGCAAGGATGCAGAACATGCTAATTCTAAGCCATATTCAACCTGTTATCTTTAGCTCTAGATGTGCTTTAGTTGCCTGCCCTTTTGTTTAATGTGATGGACAGAGTATAATGCACAGAAACTTGGGCTAAGGAAGCAATAGGAGAAAACTGAAAGCACCAGCCAAGACCAAGAGGTTTTTTTACAGTTCTGTCAGGCCATCAACACAGAACTATCATCACTCTTACCCATTTGCCTTTGAGCCTAATTATAGGTGCTATTTTCAACCTAAATGGTTTGTAACCAGAATTTCAAGAATTCTAGGGTCTAACATGTTCTACACATAGTCAGGGCAAGTAGAGTAATTGGCAGAGTCACTAAGAATGTATCCAAAACAACATTCGTCGTGAAAGAAATCACAAAAACAAAAAAATAGGATTGGGGGAGGAGAGCTTTGCTGAATTCAGTTGGACTAGGTTTTGGATTCTCTTCTGTTTCTGGCCATTTTTTTTTACTCAAGCAAACACCAGCATAGCCATATACAGTCAACAATGCAATTAGAGTATTACCTGTGGAGTCATTTGGCTACACTGAATGGGTTCAGATGAGAATTTCACAGGTCAGGTTGAGGGGTGGGTGGGAAGGGCCTGCTCAGCTTTGCTTTATTCCTACCACATGCCTCCTCTATCTCAAGCCACCAGAAAGGCTTGGTAAGTTAAGAGCAGGGCACCAAAGTCTCTCAGCCAAGGAGGCAACTCTTTCTTTGCTACTCCTGTCGAAGAAGTTATATATTTTGGCTTGACTGTAGCTTAGTGCATTGTCCGGATTCAGTGGGTTTAAGCCAAAGCGCCCCAAGGGAAGCAAGGATATTCATGTGGCATGCTCAGCCACCCCTTCCCCTGGTGGCTTAGCATGTCATGCAAATCCAGATTCTCTCTTAGGTAAGATGAACTTTAAAACAGCACAATTTATGGTTTTGCTAAATTGAAGAAAATGTTAAAACAGGCAATGAGTTCAATAACCCACTCCTTTTGTTTTACATCATATATACCATCACTATTTTTCTTAAAACTTTTTTATGGTAGGGAAGACCAAAGAATAGCTATCCTCCAAAAGAATATAATCACAAAGAAGAGGTGCTAATGGACAATTGATAGATATGAAAAGATGGAATCCAGAAGATGCTTGTTGGCAGAGAGGGAGAGGAGGAAAGAGCATGAGTAGGATTAGAAATGGAATGGTCATCTTGTGGCTTTGACAGATAGCCAAATTCTGAGCAAGCATGACAAGCGCTCCACCCTCTGACTGCTGATTCTAAGTTTACCCATACTGTAGAAAAGCAAGAGAAATTTCTAGTGGGCTTGGCAGCTGGACAGCAACAGCTTCCAGTAAAAGGAGAGAATGTGTAGGAAGAGACTTCAACAGGCTTAACCTGGTACACATGTAACCCAACATAACACAACTTGTCTATCAATTATTATTTATCTTGACGTTTACCTTTGTGATACACCATCAACGTAAAAGGTATTCTCATCTTCATTCTGTAACCTCTCCTTTCTTCGCCTCTCTATGTCATGTCTTAGATCATTTGGATCTTCTAGAATTCTCACAGCACTCTAAAAATAAACAAATAATGATTATTGAATGATTACTGAATTATCATTATTCCCTTTTTCTTACTATAGTGATTTCTTTAGTAAGCACAGTACAACAAATAAAGTTCACATTTTAGAGATAAGTTGATGTCATAGATTAATCTGTTCCACAGCTCTGGTTGTGACCCAAATTGATTGTGACCCAAATCAAATTTCCCCATAAGATTCACTGTAAATAAGGCTAATCTGTTCTGGCCCCTCCAAATGTGGTTGTGAGCCAATTTTTGGTCATGAGCCAAGTCAAATTTCCCCATAAGGGTCAATATAAATAAGGTTAATCCATTCTGTAACTACTCTTTAATCAGAAAAATTTGAAACAAGGTGACAAAGAACAACAAAGTAACAAAGTACTGTACAGTACAGTGGAGAACACTAACCTAGGTGGGGGGGGGTTATTGTTTTGAGGGAGAGTTCCTCTCCATAAGGACATTGGGGAGATCTCTTTCTGGGGTTTCCTCTCTTCTTTGTCTCTTAGCTGCAGGGTCAATTTTGGTGAAAAATCTGTCTATAGTCACTTGTTTTTTCCTGTGCTGCATAACCCTCCAAAATGAGAGACCATGTTATCGTTCATCAGATTCAACACTCTGTTCGTTACAGTTATGTTGGGGTGGTGCCTCTCAAAGAAATCCTGGCATTCATTCCATTTTTTCATAATGGATTGTATCACATCCCTGCTAACCTCCTCCCTGTCTTCCTCTTCCTCAGTGGAATCCTCCTCAGCAAGTGCCTCCTGCTGCTCACTCTGGAGTTCAGCAAGTTCTTCTGTTGTCACCTCCTCTATGTCTTCCCTGCACGAACGCAACTGCGATCGCGGCCATCTCCACATTTGGGCGGGGGACGGGGGAGATGGCCGCAATCTTGGTTGCCGCCCAATGTGGAGTTCGCGACCCAAGTCAAAATTTTCATGAAATTTTTGTTCGTGACCAGATTTGGTTGTGAACCAAGGCGTTCATGAGCCGAGGCACCACTGTAATGAAATGAAATTCAGGATGGTGTAGAGGTTAGAGTGTTGGGAATAGGATGAGAGAGATCCAGATTCAAATCCTCAGTTTGCCATGAAGCTCACTTGGTAAGCTTCTGCTCATCACTCTCCTTCAGACTAACCTTTATCTCATGGTTGTCATAAAGATAAAGTGAGAGGTAAATCACGTACAGTGCCTTATATTTGTTGGAGGAACGTCAGGATGTAAATACAGTTAAACAAAAAATACAGTCAAACTTCAGTATAAGTTGTTTCAGTGAATTGGACATATATACTGAAAAAATGGAAGCATTATTTATTTATAAAATTTGTATGCCGTACAATTACTAACATCTCTGGACGGCTAACAGCGTAAACAAATTGATGACCTACTCTGGCTGCAAATTAATAAAATACAATAATAAAAATCGGTATTAAAACTGTTAAAATATTGATTAAATGAAAAGGTCTTAACCCGGCGCCGAAAACCATATAATGACGGTGCCAGGCGAACTTCTCTGGGGACCGCATTCCATATCGGGGCGCCACTGCAGAGAAGGCCCTCCTCCGGGTATTCACCCTCCTAACATCTTTCACAGAGGGTTCCCGGAGGAGGGCTTCTGTTGCCGATCTCAGGGGGCAGGAGGACAAATAGGGAAAAAGGCATTCCTTTAGGTATCCTGGTCCCAAGTTGTTTAGGGCTTTATACTTAATAACCAGCACCTTGAATTGAGCCCGGACTTCGATGGGAAGCCAATGGAACTGATAAAGGACTGGGGTTATATGAGAATAACACCCAGTCCCCGACAGCATCCTGGCAGCTCTATTTTCAACCATCTGAAGTATCCGGACTGTCTTCAAGGGCAGCCCCACATAAAACACATTACAGAAATCCAACCAGGAAGTAACCAATGTGTGTGTTACTGTTACTAGGCAATCTTCCTCCAGGTAGGGACGCAGCTGATAGATTAGCCGAAGCTGAAGGAAAATGCTCCTCGCCACCGCTGTCACTTGGGCTTCCAAGGACAGCACCAGGTCGAGGAGCACTCCCAAGCTGCGGACCCTGTCCTTTAGAGGGAGTGCAACCCTGTCCAGGGCAAGGCCAAAGTCACCTACCCAGGAGCTCGAATCACCCACCAACAGCACCTCCGTCTTATCTGGACTGAGCTGGACGGCATTGTGAGGAGACAATGGAAGTGGAGAATTTCTTCTTCGCCGCCCTCACCGCCACAGCATAGGCTCGGTAATGAGCCTGTAAGCGTGTATGGTCAGATTTCATCCCGTGATTTCCTCCACCTATGCTCTAGTCATCTCCCAACCTGCTTCACTGCCCATAATTCAGATGTATACCATGGAAATGGACGGGTTCTGCTTGGCAGGATAGGAGGCTTAGGGGTGATCGTGTCAATCACTCTGGCCATTTCCCCATTCCACAGTCCAACCAGAGCATCAACAGGAGCACCAGCTTTATCAACTGGAAAATCCCCCAGAGCCCTCAGGAATCCATCCAGATCCATCCGGCTCCGAGGGCGGACCATCACAATAGGGTCCACACCCTTACAGAGGGAAAGGCCAGCTCCAAGCTCAAACCTCACGAGGAAGTGATCTGACCATGACAAGGGAGTCAGATGCAAATTCCTCACCCTCAAATCACCCTCTTCTTGCCATGTCGAGAAAACCAGGTCCAGCATGTGACCACGTTCATGGGTTGGGCCTATGACATGTTGAGACAGTCCCATGACCATCATGGAGGCCATGAAGTCCTGAGCTGCCCCGGTCAGAACAGTCTTGGCGTGGAGACTGAAGTCCCCCAGGACCAACATCTTGGGGGTCTTCAACACCAGGTCCGAGACGATCTCCGTCAGCTCAGGCAGATGGGCAGAAGGATGCACGGTACACCAGCAGAATCCCCAATCTGTCTCGATCGCCCAGCACCAGGTATAACCACTCTAGACCTGCTCTTGAGGGAACAGGAAGCCCCGTGAGGGATATAGAGGCTCGGTGAATTAAATCGACCCCCCTCCCCAACCCTCTGGATGTGACTGGTGCTGAACTAGATACTCAGGCGGGCACAACTGAGAGAGGGCTACATCCCCACCCTCTGCCGCCCAGGTCTCTGTAATGCAAGCCAGGTCAGCCCCCTCATCCACAATTCAGTCATGGATGAGGGATGTTTTATTATTGAGCGACCTGGCATTAAGCAGCAGCGCCGTCAGGCCCAAGGGGTGGTTGATAAGCTTACCCAGAATCTTCCGGTTGGAGGAACAACCAGAAGGAGGAACAGGTATCAACCATCTGTCCCTCCTTCTTCTATGCCGACATGTTGATCTCCCAATGCCATATCTCCCCTTGCCCAACACCAACCCAATGGTGGCGCCCATGTGCTCCCCAGGCAACCCCATAAAAACAGCAGCCAGATGTGGAGTTACTAAAACAAATACAATAAAATACAATTTAAAACCCTCCAGCCCACCCACTACAAAAAACAAAAACAAAAAAACACAAAATTCCTGGCCCAGCCCAGCCCCCACATTACAGAATATTTACAAAAATAAGGTTACATTACTGAAAATAATTTCCCTTCAATAAAGAAATAAACATACATACCTTTCCAGACTCACATGAAATAGATCCTTTATTCTGAAGTTCTGCTAAAGACATATCAATTCTCCTGAACACGTGATTCAGCGTCAATAAAAAGGTAAAATGGAAACAAGAGTCAACTTCAAAAGACACTAAGCTGTGCAAAGATACCTGCATTATGCATCTTTACAATTGTAGAGAGCTACAAGAAGCTTTACTTTTTTGATTCCATATCCTTTTGTTTCTGGTCTGAAATTGCATTCAGACTTTATAAACATAAAGGGTAGGATGAGTCCAGAGTATGGCACTAATGGAAAGGACCCCTAAAAAGAGGATCCAAAAAATTTAAATAGGTGGCAAAGATGGATTTTCTTGGCCAGATTCATTATATAGTGCCATGACTGTTCTCTTCACTTAATTACCTGTTGATGCAAACTATTCACTTTAGGGTCAAATACACAGATGCCCAAACTAAGTAAAAATAAATTACTCAAAATCCAGGAACTGGTTGTACTTATTTAACTCCAGAAAGTCATGTAAGTGTTATATTAAATGCAAGGATATCAGGCTGCAAGAAAAACATGTCAGTTGGGCAGAGAAATTCTGTTCTTCTGCCTTGCATGGAAGCCTTATCTGGAGCTGACCAGTTTAATTTCCCTTCAGTGAAATATATTTATAGATATATCCCAATGTGGTTTAGATTAGTATTTTCTAGGGCCATTGAAATATTAATCTGCCAACATCTGCAGGTGGGCAAAATATCCAACAGAAAGTGTTGTAATGGGAGACGTACACTGATGGGATTGAAACAGACAATTTGTAGTGACAATCCTCCATCAAAGGTGGTGGAGTAACTCATTCTCAGGCTGCAATTCTATGCGTATGGGATTACATTCCACTGAACGCACTGGGACTTACCTCTGAGCAAGGAAGTATTAGTACTGAACAGCTGGATATAGCATATGTAGAAATTAGATAAACCTGCTATATCCACCAAATGAATAAGGTGGGCATTACACGTAAAAAGTAATTAGAAATACTTTTAAAAACAAATCAGAACTGTGTTATGCATTTGCTCTTTAGTTAATTGAAGAAATTTTTATTGGTCAGAAAAACATTTCTTTTACCTGTGAATTTCAGGATCGGGATGCCTTTTAACTTCATTTACCACTGGTTTATCTTGTATTTTTGAGAAACGTTCATGTAACGTTAGAGCAGAAGATTTAAAATAATTTGCTGTGAAGAGAATAAACAGAAAAATAGCTAATCCTTACTACTGCAATTTCAGTTAAAAAGAAAATCTGAAAACACAGTGAACAATGGTTTTAAAAGTTACTGATATCCTTACGTTTTTTATCTCCACAACCATACCTCTCTAATAAAAATTGAATCGATTACACATAGTATGCTGCTATTCTGGCTAGACATAGATTCAGTCTTCTACAAGTCCTCAGTAACTCCCTTGTGTTGCAGGTACAAGGCCACTCCAAAGAACTTATTAAGGTATCAAATTGCAAAAAAGATCAAATCAATGTTTACTTTAAAAAACCATCTTAAGTTCAAAATGTGCAATGAGGTAGAGGACCTAAACTAGGCGAATACAATTTAAGTCTCTAGGTGAAATACATGCGTGACACTATAGGTCCATAAACAGTAGCTAGTTAAATATAACTACATTTGTGTTCAGTCCCTTTAATTTCAAACTGACATTAGAAAAGACAACTCCCTCTATTACTGCTCAATGTTTTCCTGTACTGTATTTCATACTTTAAAGGCATATTTCCAAGATTTCCAGAATTCTGAGATCTATCCCTAATGTTAAAAGAAAGGAGATTCTTGGTTTTCTGGCTGCAAACTACTATAGTTCTCTGTCTCAAATATATACAATATCCTACCAACATTAAGCACAAATATTTTCAAACAGCTCTATTCCATCTACATGATGCTTCACGTGTGTCTAGCTACTTGAATAAATAACATTCATAGCAATTTGATTATGTAAAGACACAGCCTACTCCACATATAATTTGCATGTCCAACACACTGTAACCACCTTTAACTTGGTGGATAATTGTGATGATTTCTTGAGCAAATTCTTTGGATGGGTTTTGTTCTACCTTCTGCATCACAGATTTTATATGTTCAAATACAGGATGGAAATTTTCAGTTTTTCTACCCACGGCTACTAGGTCACGTGAGGTCTGCCTCTCCATGATATGACTAGAAGCACCCCTGTAATAAATTTAGAAAAGTTTAAAAGCATTCCCTTAAATAAAATAAAAATAGTTAAACAAGGTAATACATTTAAATCATTAATTCAAAGAACAGTGAAACTAAGGGTTACCCACAACAGCATTAAGAAACATTTTACGATTGAAATAATTTTTAGAAACACATAATTTTATGTAATAATTTATATTACTTTTATATAAATAAGCATTCATTCTAGTTTGAAACATAAGGATATACACACAGATGCAGTCATATACTACCTTCTATACTGCATTTAATACAGCCCAATTCAAAAAAGAGCCAACTAGAAATTCTGGGCCCATGCAGGTACTCATGAAACTTACACTATCCTATCCCCTCCACTACATGCATTTGTAGAGAAGGAATAAATCCCCTGACCATTGCCCAGACGTATGGTGGTAGCAATAAACATAGTGAGCATCTTTACTCACTTTTTCAGTGGATGCTTGGGCATCATTTTTGGTTTTCTTTCTTATCCTGCTTAGGAATAGTGACACCATATATATATATATATATATTAATGAGATACCATACAGTAATATATGACATTACTATTTCTAAGCAAAATTAAAACCTATTCAAAAACCAATAGTGCTGCTAACTGGGCACCAAGATTTTTCTGATCTTTTTACAAATTGTCTCAAAATGCAGTATCCCCAGTTAGAAAGTTCAGACTCTAAATTCGACCTAGATTGAAAAGGCGAGGGGTTGGAATCTGGCACAGAAATGTGAAAATTAATTAGCAAGATTTGTCATGCAGCTGTTAAAAATCGAACTGCTTCAGGTTCAAGGGGAGATGCTGAAGAACAGGTAGAGTCCCAGGAGGAAGGGTGTGAATTTCTTAACCCAGCAAGCCAGCATCATGACATATAAACAGGGCAATTCAGTAATGTCTGGCAGTATGAATCTCCCTGAGTGGAGTCAAGCCTTTTGGGAAAAGAAGGCAGGAGGGGGCATCTTCAGCTGGAATCAACTCTTCACATGGGCAAGAGCTACTTCAACAAACCAGAGCTAACATTACTTTGATGCTTCTTGAGAACAACTTTCTTATGAAATACTCTGTATCACAAAAACCTGTTAATCTGAAATAAAGGACCATATTTCAAAAGCCTTCTGTTTAGATCTCCTGGAGAGGGGCAGAGATGTGCTCACGACACATATGGCACACACCAGATTTCCTCCAATCTTCCCTTCTCAATTATCCGCCATTCTTGTTCTGGTGTGTAGATAAATTTAAGAAGAAGCTTTCCCTGCATTCTTGGCTTGGGTGCATGGGATTCCACTGAATAAGGATTACAAATGGCCACACTGATTTTCATTCTCAGGTATCCTGGTGTCTTTCTGTTGTGCTGCTAGAGACTCTCCTGCAGAGTTCTCCTTTCTCCCACCTGACAAATCTAGAGCATAACATATCACAAGATATACAAATAATAGTTTCCCAAACCCATGAAGATGCTTAGCCTTTTGTCCTAGATGTTAGTTACTTAAATAGCTACATAGAGGCCAAAATGCAAAGATGGCCATGCACACACTGGAACCAGTTATACAGGCACACAGGAACTATGTCATTTTTCCTTCCAGATACAACTCCTTGGACTACAGATGTTTGCCCAAACTTACTCTGTCATGCAGCAGGATGAAGCTACACACTTCCAACCACAGCAGGAAGGGTGATGCGTGTGTGTGTGTGGAAGAAGAAAGCTATCTATCACTATATATAGAAATTTACCTAGTTATTCCTGTGCTAGGCTAATATTGGTTCAATCAAAGCCATCTCCGCTACCATAACTATCTTTTGAAATGCCAAATTAACATATTTTCAAGGCATGCTTGGCATCTCAGGCTTGACTTATTCATTAAATTTGAAATCACTTTGTAAGTAAGAATGTTTTGTTACTGAGTTGGACTGGGCCACCGTCCAAGTACAGAGTTCTACTGCAACTCTATCTAACAGGCCAAGAACCCAATAACATTTCCTGTTTCCAGCAAGTGGTATATTCTAGTTGTACCTCAGGGCTCTCCCATTCAAGTCTGCTTTCAGCTGCCCTTGACCTACATTCTCAATTGTGCCTGTATATACTAGCATATGCTTGGCCTACTCAACAAAAAAACAGTTGCTTCACCCTTGCAATTCCAAACTATTTGCATGGTCCTTTCAAATCAACTGCCAGGCTGAAATCCACCACTGTATATTTCCACCTGTTGGCCTGATTCTGAACCCCTGGTATGGTGAATGTAAGGGCCAATGTGCAAAGCAGCAGAATAAGAAGGCAATTTTTTTCCTAGACTACTATTCTGTGTGAGCTATCTAAAAAGAAAAGTAAGACTTGAATGTTTCTCCATGACATGGTAGTTTCCTGAACGCAGGGCATTTCTTATGGAGGAACATTTAAACATGCAAACCCCACTACAGTCCCCCTAAAGTGATACAGTCCAAAAATAGCTATATTATTCAATTTTGTTCAAGTTGACCGCAGATGCAAGTCACAGGCTTGTAACTAGAACAAACTGGGCAAAGCAAATTTCAGCAAGCCATGATTACCGCTTATTAGGATACAAATTTCTTTTTCAGGTTCCTTGGAGATATTTATACTTGCTTTCAGATGATTCTGTGTTATTACATGAAAAGCAATTTAGTACCCATATGGGGAAAAGGAAATGTTGCTGGTTTTCTATTTTAGTTACAACTCTTGTACTGCAGTTATTCCAGAGGGTTCCCCTGACAGCCAGGGACAACTTTCCTGGGGGGGGAAAGAGTTGCTGCAGGAAGGGGAGGCAGAAAAGCCCTACCACATAAGTGGAGTTCCGCACAGAACCCTTTGGATCCTGGTAACTGACATAATTTTAGTGCATTGTAATTACAAAGCAATCATGACATCTTTAATAAATTCTTAAGCACTTAATAAAATTCACAAGCACAAACAAGCTTCAATTCAGGAATAAATACCTGTACTTATTTATTGCTTTCTTCATATCCACTTTGACTGTAAGTTTTTCTTTCTTAGTGTGGACATCTGAAACTTTCACATCTGAAATGCTATGATGGGTGTCGTGCTGATGACTGTTGGAAGAATCAATTCTTCCCCTAACATCCACATCTTTCTTTATTCTTTCCTTCTCTTTTTGATCAAAGGGCAACAGACCAGCATCACTTTTGTAAGATGAATTGCAGCCTTTCCCTGAAATATATTTCATTGCCACTTCAGTACAAGATTCTTCTGAATGGTTAACTCTTTCATTGCTATAGTAATCTGAGTATTTGCTGTTCCAAGCTCCTTTAGAATATGTATATTTCTTGTCCTCCACCTTGATATATTTTCCTCTTTTTTCATCAGAAATGTATTTTCCTCCATCTGGATGTCTATGACGTTTATGACTATAGTCATATGTAATCTTTGTTGGACAACTGTCGCTATATTCTTTTTCAACAGGACGATAGGTTTGAAAACCAAGATTTCTTTGTTCTTGTTTTTCTTGCTTGGGTATAGAAGAAAGATCTTGCTTCCACTTTGAATTGCTTGCTATTTCTCCATCATCATACCTCTCCATTTCTTTAGCCCTTTTGGATGTATGCCCATATTCTCTGTATTCACGATCTTCAGGATACCTGTGTTGACATAAAGTAGTTTATACTCGCAGTAAGGAAGAAAATGAGAACTTACGTGTGCAGAATGCCGGTAAACACAGGCTTTAGGTAGAATATGTCACCCCAAGATCCCTCAAGCCACCAAAGAGAGTGGAAAATTATGATCCTTGTATATGCTAGCCACCAACAGGATTACTATAACAGAAATAATACTCTACCATCAGCAGCCCACAATTAAACTATGTTTTATTCCATTTAGGAAAAAAACGCTTTTCAGGATAGAAATCTTCAATTATATGGGCAACTGACTTTCACTTGAGGCTTTACATCATTAAAAGAATTATTAAAACTGGGCATTTCTCTACCTCTTCTGGAAAGAGATCCTTGGCATTAATTCATTAGAAAATCTTCGAGGTGATTGAGTTGACTGGTCTTCCTGCGACTGATGGTACCTCAAGTTATTTTCATTCCACTTCCTTTCAAACTTACAAGAAGTATCTAATGGTCTGTGAAAGGTCTTAATCTCTTTTGCATTTGCAACAGCTCGGGTTTCTTCATGCACCTCTCTGACACGTGTTTTGGGTGGATAGAAAGATTGACTGTGTTCTTTTCGAGACATTTCTGAATATCTGGAAGGGAATGGGCATCTTCTGATATTTTCATTTCTCTCTGAAGAATGTGTTCTACAAGATTTATGACTATGTATGTCTTCTGCAGAAATCCTTTTCAGAGTTGGTGAGTATGACCTACGTTCATGAAGTCGATGGTGGTTAGTTTCATGTGGTGTATATCTAGAATTGGCTTGTCCATGCTTCCCATCATCCACTCTCCAAGGCATAGGTTTCTTCAAGTCTTTCCGAAAAGTCTTGTACTCAGAGTCATAATTAATATGATTGTGTCTCTGTCTCCCATGCTCCTGACTCCGCAGGGCAGGTGATAAAGACCTACATATAAGGGCAAGAACACAATTCCATTTTAACTAGCAAACTGCAAAAAGTTTGAAACAACAAGATAAACGGTCAAAAAAATCTGTCTGAAGTTACTTACGGTAGCTTATTGTGGGGTGAGGATTTTTTTTAAAGGACTTGCAGTTGCAACGTGTAGCTTCCCTGTTGTTTTTAAGTTAAAATGCATGCGCAGATACAGGAAGAAGCTGTCTACATCAAACAAGTTCCCATATAAGCTTCTGGATAACATCTTGCCCTGAAGTGATGGGCAAAGAAGTAGGGACAGTTTGTGAGCTACCACCACCTAGCTCCTAGTGGTGACCCAATACTCCCTCAAATGCCACCAGAAGGGCTTCTGAGAAACATATTGTCCTGAGTAAATGGAAGAAGAAATGGATTAAGTTTGAAAAGAGACTGCAGAAAAAAAGGAAAAAGAGAAGAGACCAGTCAAAAGGGATAATCAGTGCAGTGCAAACCTCAGTTCAAGTCTCCACTCTCTGGGCAATTTACTCAGCAAAGCAAAGCAAACTGACCCAAAACTAAACCTCTCCTCCCTTTCAATTCTTTTCCTTGTGTCTCATGTCTTTTTAGAATGTCCAAACTTCCAAAAGCCAGGAAATTGGAAGGTAAGGTTAATGTCTTAAACTATGGGCCCGATGATCAATAATGTTTGCAATGCCACATATTACACTTGCTTACCAGTTACCTTTCATTTCTCTTTGGTCTTTCAGGCCCAAATGAAGTGGGAACAGCAAAGATGCCCCATATTGTCTTGGTGCTGAATTACGAGGCATCTGAGCCTTACTGTATTGCTAAAAGAATCTCTCTGTAGGTTGATACATGCCTATTTGTTGCTTACATCACTAGTTTGCAGGATGGGATGAACAGTGAGATGAAGTTTTCTTTTAGTAATCTTCAACAATCTTGTTGCATTAAGACTGAATTACATAAGAGTTTTAGTTCCTTATACTGGACTGTAAGTTGTACTATGATGAATAAGGCAAAAATGTATTGACATTTCCATGAGCAGGTACACTACAAGTTATTTGGAAATGCTTTGGACTCCTAGATGTTTGGTTGGGATAGAATGGATAGGGAATCTAAAAGGAAAAAAACCCATTCTCTACCACATCAAGATTTCCACCTGCATGCATGTGGCTAAACCTATCTGTGGTTGCTTTGGACCTTGAAATGCCTGGCCTGTTTTGATGCTACACTTTATGAGAAGCGAAAACTGAAAGAATTCAGCACCCTCTTCCAGATCATTGCTTCTTTACCTCAAACTGCATTCTTCCAGCATCATTTCATACAAGATACAATAAGTGCATTAATGTTTGTGGCCTCAATTGTCTACTTTCATATTTTATGTAAGTTCCTGTGAGGTAAAAGGCATTGGACTACATATGTTCTTCACTATATATAATTAAGCAACCCATTCCTGATCCAAATCAATAAGTACCTCAAACCCATACTGCTGAGATACACTTTTTCTTGGTCCCTTAAAAATCTACATTTTTTTTTCCAAAACCTGCATTAATGCTTCCACCATTTCTAGCTACTTAAATAGACACAACATTGTTTCCTGCTGTACTGGATGTCAGTAGAAAGGTCTGTATCCAACTTATAGACATATCCAGCTTCTTCCATAATCTGCAGCCCAATACTATAAATGATTTTATTGACTGAGAGAGGTGTTAAAAGCGCTAAATTACTTTAAATCACATAGAGCTACAACCTTTTCACGACTGATATACCATTTACCTAGAATAAGCAAAGCTCTTTGGCATCAATTCATTTCAGTCACGCATTTCTTTCAAAACCAGCTTTCAGAGATAAATATTTTTCATTATACACATTTTTCTGCATAACACTCATCATGGACCTCCATGCAGCAGCAGCAAGTAAGCAAGCAAGCAAGTAAATAAATAAATAAATGCTAGTGAGGATGCAAAAACTGGGCATGCAAGAAATACCCTTCTCTCTCAGTGCTTCAGCAACTCTGATCAGGAGATAGCTATCATGACTAGCCTTACAGTCAATGAATGAGTCTAACTCCCTTTTAAAGAGAATGAAGTTGGTGAATTCACCAATTTTTGCAGATACGAATTCCATAGTCTTAAAATGCACTATGTATGAAGAAGTACTTCCTTTGTCTGTCCTGAATTTTCTAGCATTCAGCTTTATTAGATATCCTGGGTTCTATTATTACCAAGAAGAATGTTAATTTCTTCATTTTCTCCATACCACACACAGGATTATTCTTGTATCATATCTCCTTTTCTTCATGCTATAACCATTCTTCATAGAGGAGTTCTTCCAACCTCATGATTGCAGGGATGGAAATTTGCTCCATGGG